CACACTCATTGTAAAGCAGATTCACAATTCCACATTTCCTTGATGAGACTGGCAGATGCATATAGCAACAAGTGACAAACACTTGCAGTAATACTACTCCTCAGCTGTTAATCAAGATTTACTTCAGGCGTTGAAAAGAGCAGATTACTTGGAGAATGTAGGTACTAGAAAGAATAAACTTTACTAAGTGATTCCTTATTTGAAGCTGGAATAAAAACTCTCTCCATGTTTTCCTGCATGACTTACGCCAGACCAATGATGTATATATACTACATATATATAATGATGTATATATAAAGCAATGAGCATGTTTCCACTTCCATCTTTAAATACAGAGAAAAAGAATAGTGGCTATATGATCTAAAGAGGCAGAAACAAACTTCTAACTAGAAGAAAATAAGAAAGTAAAATAACCCTTCATCTTACTAGAGATGTTTTCCTAACCAGCTTCTATCAAACCCACAAGAGTCTATTATATTATTCTGTCTTTAACAGTGTCTTTCATGAACTAAGGTGAACAGTCATACAACCATTCGAGAGATGAAAAATACATATATATAGGTTGAGCTATGAAAATCTGAAATCTAAACACTCCAAAATCGAAAATCTGAAATCTAAAAGCTCCAAAATCTAACTTTTTGAGTGCTGACATGATACCATAAGTGGAAAATTCCACAGCTGACCTCATGTACACAAACTTTGTTTCATGTAAAAAATTATTGAAAACACTGTATAAAATTACCTTTAGGCTGTGTGTTTAAGGTGTATATGAAATATAAGTGAATTTTTTGTTTAGAGTTGGGTTCCATTCCCAGGATATCTCATTATATATAGATATATACACATATGCAAATACTCCAAAATCTGAAAAAATGTAAAATCTGAAATACTTATAGTTCCAAGCATTTTGGATAAGGGATACTCAACCTGTATAATCGAATGACTTGCAGGTGACATAGCTAATAATTAGATCTTGGGGGAGAAAAATCTGTCTTTTCAAATTTCCAGATTAGTGCTATAACCATTCAGATACATCACAAATTTAAGTCTAGTGGGAGTGCTACAAATTATGCATCATCTCATTAATGAAAATGTTTATTAATCTCAAGATCTTTGAAATAAAAATAATAGCTACCTTTTTCAGATACAGCTCTAGTAGGCACTTTATATATATTATCTTGAATCCTCACAATAGCTCAGCGAAATATCTACAATAATCCTCATTTATAGATTAGGAAAATAAGATTTAGAAAGATTAAGTAACTTGCCTAATCACTTAGCCAGAAAGTATTGAAACCAGCTTTCAAATCCAAGTTTATCAAAGCCAGTGTTCTGATTATCTGAAAGATTCTTTCTCACATATGCAAATAATAATCATATACTACACACAGTGGTATGAGACTTGTATAATATCATGAAAACTTTATTACCCACCTACAGCCCACATCTATAATTAAATGGAAACAAATATTACTTACTTTTTTCCCTTTCTAATTTCATTTCCTTTCTTTTTTTCTCCTAGAAGATGTGGTAGAGGGGGAAGGAGCACTGAATTCATGAAAAACAGGTTCCTTGTAAGATTGATAAAGGAAGATGATAGCATTTTTACTCTATCAGGGTAATTCAAAAGCATATTTTTAAAGTTGTTACTACTTCTTGAACTTTACTATGTGCCAGAACTAGGTGCTTTATGTACATACCTCATGTAAAACTTCTTATGAGATGCTAAAGAGCTTCCACTTAAAAGCATTCAAATTCTTGCTGATTTTAATGATGACCATCTTTGTTCATTGCTAATCTTCCTGTCCTTCATTTTTTTCAGCCCTTCACACTACTGCACCCTCATCTTTAAAAAGCGAAACAAATAAACAACAATAACAAAAGTACTAACTTCATATGACTGCTAAAGGAAAAGTGATGATATTGAATTTGATGTATCATCTTTGTTTTTTTTTTTTTTTTGAGACGGAGTCTTACTCTGTCGCCCAGGCTGGAGTGCAGTGGCGCGATCTCGGCTCACTACAAGCTCTGCCTCCTGGGTTCACACCATTCTCCTGCCTCAGCCTCCCGAGTAGCTGGGACTACAGGCGCCTGATACCACGCCCAGCTAATTTTTTGTTTTTGTATTTTTGCAGAGACGGGGTTTCACTGTGTAGGCCAGGATGGTCTTGATCTCCTCACCTCGTGATCCGCCCACCTCGGCCTCCCAAAGTGCTGGGATTACAGGCATGAGCCACCGCACCTGGCTGATCTATCATCTTAATATTATTAATTTATATTACCTATTTAAAATGTTATAGTAGCTCCCTCTAGCTTACAAAGCACTTTAGAATAGCTAACTCAATCCTCAATAGATTTTAGTGAGATAGATTTTATATATCCCATGGAGCTAAGGCTAATTAGTTGAGTGGCAATGAGTAGCAGACCTATGTCTAAACCCAAGACGTCTCACTCTGCATTAAGAGCTTTTCTTGATCCTATTATAGTCACAGGTAGGCTCAACTAACCCAGGAATGTGCTATATCAATGTACTTGAAAAAAAGAAACACCTAACACCTAGATCTTAGTTTCTAACACCATCCTCTACCATTTTCCATAACCAGGACTCCTTGAAGAAATCACTCATTACATAATTGGAGCAGGGAAAATATAAGATTAACTTGGAGTATCTTATAATACTAGAAAGTAAGGGAATACTCAAAAAACAAAAGGATGTGTCAAAGGAAGACAGGACTTTGGGCCTTTGGTCTTTGGGCTCCCAATGGCCAAAGCTGGAACAATTTGAGCAACAAAATGAATAATGAATATAAAATAAATATCCATGAGTGCATATTGATATAAACAACTGAATAAATAAGTATATGAATAAATGGGGGAGAAGACCCAAATCCCCCTTACATAAGAATAATGGACATATATGTCCCCCCTCCAGGAGATGGAATTTATTTTCCCTTCCCCCTTGAGTGTAGACTAAACTTAGTGACTTGCTTCCAAGGAGTGGAGTATGGAAAGTAAATTTAAAATAGAGTAACCAGGCAAACACTACCTTGGCCAGGTGACCAAGGTTAACATCATTAGTGATAAGTCACCTTGACAGCATATTCCCTTGATGTGATGTGATGAAAATAGAAGCTTACCTCTGGTCTTTCTCTCAGAATCCCACAACCCCAGTCTAATATGAGAAAAACACCGAATTCCATTTGAAGGATATTCTGCAGAATATCTAACTAGTGCTCTTCAAAACTGCCAAGGTCATGAAAAACAAGGTAAGCCTGAGAAACTGTCATAGATAAGAGGAATCTGAAACATGACAGCTAAAGGTACTGTGGTATCCCGGATTTGATCCTGAAGCAGAAAAGAGGCACCAGTAGAAAAAGTACTGAAATATGAACGAAGTGTGGAGTTTCTTTTTTCTTTTTTTAACTACTTTGTTGAATTATCATTATCAGGTAAAAAGCTGTACATATTTAATGTATACAACTTGATGAGCCTGTGGACAAGTATACACCCATTAAACCATCACCACCATCAAGGCCCTAGACATATACACTACCTCCCAAAGTTTCCTCCCACCCCTTTTATTATTATTAATATTAATTTTGTGTGTATGTGTAACAAGAACACTCAACATCAATCCCTGCCCATCCCCACCACCAAGCCCCTGACAATCACCATTCCAGTCTTGGCTTCTCTGAATTTTACTTTTTTTTTTTTTTTTTTTTTTGACAGGGTCTCACTCTGTCACCCAGGCTGGAGTGCAGTGACACCAACATGGCTCAATGAAGCCTTAAGCTCCTGGACTCAAGCAGCCTTCCCACCTCAGCCTCCCAAGTAGCTGGGACTACAGGTATGTGCCAGCAAATCCAGCTAATTTTTTTATTTTTTTGTAGAGACAAGGACTGGCTATGTTGTCCAGGCTAGTGTTGAACTCCTGGTCAGTCAGGCAATCCTCCCATCTCAGCCTACCAAAGCACTCATATTATAGGTGTGAGCCACCATGCTAGGCAGAGTTTCACTATTTTAGATTCCATATATAAATGAAATCATACAGCAGAGTTTCATTAATAGTAAAGTACCAATGTTGGATGATATGGTTTGGCTCTGTGTCCCCCAACCAAATCTCATGTCAAATTGTAATTCCCAGTGTTGAAGGATGAAGGAGGGGCCTGGTGGGAGGTGACTGGATTGTGGGGGTGGATTTCCCCCTTGCTGTTGTGATAGTGAATGAGTTCTCATGAGACCTTGTTGTTTAAAAATGTGTGGCACTTCCCCCCGCCCTCCGGCTCCACCATGGTAAGATGTGCTTGCTTCACCTTTCCTTTGCACCATAACTGTAAGTTTCCTGAGGCCTCCCAGGCATGCTTCCTATATAGCGTGCAGAGCTGTAAGTCAATAAAATGTCTTTTCTTCAAAAATTACCCAGTCTCAGGTAGATCTTCATAGCAGTGTGAGAACAGACTACTACATTGGTTCATTAGTAACAACAAATCTATGTACCACAGGAATACGAGACGTTAACAAAAGGGGAAACCGGATGCAGGGTGCATAGGAACTCTGTATTCCATGTGCAACTTTTCTGTAAATTTAAAATTATTCTAAACTTAAAAATATTTTTAAAAAAGAAATCAATTCACCTTAAAAATAAAGAGACAAAGTGGGGCATTTGAGGGGGCTGGAGCAACATTAACAGCAAGAGAGAGAGAGAATCCCTCCAAAATATCTAACACAACTGAGAGTGTTCTGCTAAACTAGAAATTATAGTAATTTCAAAGCTTTTAACAAGAGCCTTTTGCAGATATACTACTAATAAAACCTCAGAATCATTTGCTTGTTATCTTGTTCCTCCTATAATTCTAAAAAAGAAAACAAACCAAAATATCCCTATAATCCTTTGAAAGTTATTAAAGTCATCATAATAACCATTAGTAAAATATAAATGTCACAGTCATACATGTCTAATAAACATGTAGAATCTAATGCATAATTCATATAACACTTGCCTCTGGAGTTCCTAGTGATTTCACAGCATTCAGATCAGATCCTGAAGAGAAAGTATTTTTTGCCCCACGGACAATGAGGCCTTTCCCCTCTGTCCAATTTTCCAATTCAATTACTTTTTCCAGAAGTTGTAGCATCATAACACCTGCCAGAGATGGGAGGGGGAAATCACAAATATATGAAGGTGACTGGAAAAATAGAAATAATTTATAAATCATAAGGTGTCAAGCATACTCTTAGGTCCTATATTTTATAAATATTTACTGAATGTCTATCAAATGCCTACTGCACTGGCACTATGGAGTATATAGGAGAGATATATATGGCAGGCCCTGCATTGTAAGTGTAAATTTATTATGTGTCTCTCTCTCCATCTATCTTAAGAAATCACACAAATATATGATTATGTAGAAGAATAAGAATATACCATGCTGTCCTAAGAATAAGAAAATGATATGGTAATAAGAAAAAATTATTTCTTAGGGTAGAGACAAGACATAGACCTGACTTCTCAGCAATACATGTCTCAGTCAATAAAGCTTTATGGGTATAACATGACTGTGAGACTTATGATACATTGGACACACGGTATACAGAACAAAGTGCAATTCCTATACTACTGACATCAGAATAGGATGTTAGTTGAGGAAATGAGTAATAAATACCATCTTTCTCTATGGTTAACAAACTGTCCTCTGAGGGGCTTGAGGCATACGATGGAAGTTCTTCACAGGCCTACCAACCATTAATTCTATGATTTATAGATTGTTACCTTGATATCACTCCAAAGTTCTATTAGAGCTTCTTTATAATAGACAAATTTAACACAGGAACAGCTGGGACTGGCATTTTAAGATCTAATCAATAACTTTTAGATATGCTTATCTTTGGTGATCTTCCAAGTTCATACAGTTCACGGTTTTCAACATGACTAGTTTTATTTTCCTCTGCCTAGGCAATGCTTTTAGAAGCCAATGTATAAAGATCATAACAGAGGGTTAAAAACTGGCAAAAAATTAGTACCACAAGGTTCCAAAACATGGCCCCATTAAATTATGTACACTTCTTTGGAATATAAATCCCACAATGTCAAAAACTTATTTTCTTTGCCATTTTCTGAAGTAACCAGGAGTGAGGTGGTTCCACAATAAATGTTATATTAATGGTACTAACTCACAAATGACTAACGTAGCTATTCTTTCTTATGGCTAATTATGACCTACAGTCATGCATCAACAATATATCACATATACTATGGTGGTTCCAAGATTAAAACAGAGCTAAAAAATTCCTATCACCTAGTAACCATCATAGTCATTGTAATGTAGTACAACGCATTATTCACATGTTTGTATTACAGCTGCCTATAGTATTCGGGAAGTAACACACTGAATAGGTTTGTAGCCTAGGAGCAGCAAGCTATTTCATATGGTATAGGTATGTAATAGGTTATGGGTGTAAGTACACCCTATAATGTTCACACAATGACAAAATCACCTAACGTATTTCTTAGAATGTATCCCCATCACAAAGCAACAAATGACTGCATTTAAAACTGTAACCCTTTCCAAGGATGTCCTAGATGCTTCAGAAATATCATTCTTTTGTTTCAAGTGATTTACAGTCTAGTAAGGGAAAGAAGAAACCCACACTTTTAGTATAAGAATAAATCTGTATAGGTTAATATGCATCTTTAATCATTCATAATATTTAAGCTTCTTAAAAACAGATCAGGTGCGGTGGCTCACACCTGTAATCACAGCACTTTGGAGGTGGAGGCAGGTGGATCATGAGGTCAGGAGATCGAGACCATCCTGGCTAACATGGTGAAACCCCATCTCTACCAAAAATATTAAAAAACTAGCCAGGCGTGGTGGCAGGCACCTGTAGTCCCAGCTACTTGGGAGGCTGAGGCAGAAGAATGGCATGAACCTGGGAGGCAGAGCTAGCAGTGAGCCGAGATCGCACCACTGCACTCCAGGCTGGGTGACAGAGCCAGACTCCGTCTCAAAAATAAATAAATAAATAAAATAAAAATAGTTAAATAAACAAACAATGCTGGCCTTTGTTTTAAAACCTTTCCTATGGTGCTGATTTTTTTTAACCCTTTCCTACGATGCTGAAACGCTGGCTATGAGAATAAGAAAAATCCATACCAGTAGTTTACTATTAAACTAATCTTTTCAACTTTGCAAAGTAAACCTCAAAAGATGGAAGAGACCTTAAAGAATATCTAACTGAATGATTTTTAAACAAGGGCCCTGAGTGCTCATTCATCCTGTCTCAATCCAACTTCACCAAATATCATTACCCAAATCAAAGCACGACTCCTTTTATTAGTTTTATATATTATGTATCAAAATAATATTTGTTTCTAATTGAATGAAAAATTATTTGTAACTTTTCAGAAACAAATCATCACTATTGATCCAAATTTAACCTTCTAGAGAAATTTTACCTTTCAATTTCTATTTTTCCTGGACTAATATTAAATTGGTTTTTACTCCCTAAACCAACAGAACATATAGAACTACAGAGTCTCATAAGGTAGTCAATAGTCACCTGTATATATTGAGCACTTGATATGTGGCTAGTCCAAATTGAGATGTGTCATAAGTATAAAATAAATATCAGATTTCAGAGACTTAGTGTGAAAATAAAAAGAAAAATACCTCATAATTATTAGATTAGTGACATATTGAAAAAATACTTTGGATATACTGAGTTATAAGTGAATTGTTAAAATTAATTTTACCTTTTTTTATTTTTTTAAACTATGGCGACTAGAATATTTAAAATTGCACATGTGGCTCACCTTTGTTTCTTATATTATGTTTCCATTGGTCAGCAATGGTACAGAGAAATTTCTCTGAATTCTGATAAGTGGAGAGAAAAGTCATCTTGGGTTTAAAGACTCACCACTGGTAATTTACAAAAAGTTTACAGACTATTGAATTATGTCTATAGTACGACTGTATATAAAGTAGATATATGAAAATTTTGTGAGATTTTCTAAGCCCCAAATTTCAAATGCTACTAAAGATTATAATCATGAAGTACATAACTGAAAAGGGGAGATTAGTAAAATCAACTTGAAAATAGGAGTGGTGAATATTCAACAAGGCTACTCATTAGCTCTTGCATAACATAGTTGTAGCATAATTCAAATTTGAGCTTCAGCAAAAATTACAAAGTACCACATGTCCTGCATCTTCAGTTCTCTTAAATATAAAATTCTTATATGCTAAGAGTGTTGACTAGAAAATAGAAGGCATTCACTAGCATCTAAGAGTTAGGGAAGAGTCCACAGCTAGACAAGTGCCGTTTTTCTTCTGTAACCATTGAATTAAAAGGTTAAAAACTAACACTGATTTTATCTCAATTCATAGAAAAAAATTAAGCTAAATAATTCTTTTCATTAACAGGCTTTTCTCTTTAGTTTCAGGAACTCTTTGAAACCTCTTCCTCCTTGTTTCCTAGAAGAATTAGCTGAGAACAAAGAAGTTATTAAACAGTTAATGAATTTCAATGGAAAATATAATCAAGATTAATTTAGGTTTCCTTTTTATTATTATCTGTATTAATGAATTTTCTGAAAGCATTCAAATATCCATAATTATTAAAAATTACTTAAAGTGTTTCTGGTTCATATTACAGAGTTGTTGTTTTTGTTATTTTTTTCATGTTCTACCAAGAGTACCAGGACTTTAAAACATTCTGTCACCAGAGCAAGGATAAAAAAATATGTGATAACGGGTTAGATTTAGTGTCATTCTTCAGGAATAAAAAGATCCCTAATACCTGAGAAGGCATTCATTTTACTTGGATTGTTCAGGGTAAGAATGCCAATGCCACTGTCTTCTTTCTGAAGGTCAATGGATCCACCAGGAAACTGCTGAAGTTTTTTTTTCACTTCTTCCTCATAAAATCCATGGGATGTACTATAAAGTGACAATCCTGTTTGATGTAGCAATTTTGTCCTTCCAGACAGAGAGGATGTCTTCAAAAGACTTTTTGCCATTTCTGGAAAAGAGAAATAAGTATGCAGTAGTACAGATGAATAGGCACTCATTATGTGTTAATAGGCTGTAGTAATGGACCCTTCTGTGGAACTGGGAATACTTCCCATTTCTTTCTTTCTCTTTTTTTTGAGACAGAGTTTCACCCTGTTGCCCAGGCTGGAGTATAGTGGAGCTCTCTCAGCTCACTGCAACCTCTGCCTCCTGGCTTCAAATGATTATCATATCTCAGCCTCCTAATTACCTGAGACTACAGGTGCCCACGACCATGCCAGGCTAATGTTTGTATTTTTAGTAGAGGCAGGATTTCACCATGCTGGCCAGGCCAGTCTCGAACTCCTGACCTCAAATAATCCACCCACCTTGGCCTCCCAAAGTGCTTGGGATTATAGGCGTCAGCCGCCCCGTCAGCCGCCCCGCCTGCCGCCCCGCCTGCCGCCCCGCCTGCCGCCCCGCCTGGCCACTTCCTCATTTCTAAAAGCACTCTTTCAGGAAATGATCAGTACAGAATTCCTTTCATTTTTCCCGCCTTCTCAAACCAAATAATTCACAAAGCATATCATTTCAGTATATATCACTGAGAGACAATGGCATAATTTCAGTATATTTACTGTGTTCTAATACAATAGGAAAGCTTAGAAAAAATGCTGCTCTGTATTTTGCACCATCTCCTGCCTCCAGGTAGCCTTTTGCATCACATGCTTCTTCATTCTCCAACTCTTAACTTTTTCAAAATCTAAGAATAAATAGAGTCCAAGTGTCCCTTTGGAAACAGCCTCTATGCAGAAATGCTACAAGAGCAATCCCACTCTCTAACAGAAATTTTATTCTTAACATTATTCTTACTTTCTGCAAAGCTTTCAGGCAAAAGGCTGGAAAGGGTCCTAAGAAAAATGGGGAGGGAAATACAAATGTCTGTGTGGTTTTTCTGTTCCCCAAGGTTCTGTCACTCTTCTCCTCTTATTCTTTCACCTCCTGAGTAATCTCTTCTCTGCCCATAAGCTTTTCTTACCCTACCTAAACATTATTGTTGATACAAGACTACATTCAGAAAAGGATATAAAATATAAGTTACAGTTCAATGAATTTTCACAAGGTGAATGCATTCTAGTAAATAGCACCCAAATCAAGAAACAGAACATAACCTGAACTTCACAAGATTCTCTGTGTCGCCTTTCGGTCAAAACCCCTCAAGTAGGCCGGGCGCGGTGGCTCATGCCTGTAATCCCAACACTTTGGGAGTCCGAGGCTGGTGGATCATGAGGTCAAGAGATCAAGCTCATCCTGACTAACACGGTGAAACCCCATCTCTACTAAAAATACAAAAAATTAGCTGGGCGTGGTGGTGGGCACCTGTAGTCCCAGCTACTTGGAGGCTGAGGCAGGAGAATGGCGTGAACCCGGGAGGTGGAGCTTGCAGTGAGCCGAGATCGCACCACTGCACTACAGCCTGGGCGACAGAGCAAGACTCCTTCTCAAAAAAACAAAAACAAAAACAAAAAAACCCTCAAGTAAAAGTAACTTCTTGACTTCTAATACACAAGACTACTTTTGAACTTTATATAAATTGAATATTATATATTGTGTGTCTGGTTTCAATTTTATTAACATCCATTAGTGTTATGTGTAATCAGAGTCTAAATAGCCCATTCTTCTCATTGCTGTATTCTATTTGTGAACACAAAATATCTGAGACAGGTCTCATCGCAACCAATTCAGAAAGTTTATTTTGCGGAGGTTAAGAATGCGCCCAAGACACAGACTCAGGAGGTTCTCACCATACATGCCCAAGGTGGTCGGGGTACGACTTACTTTTATACATTTTGAGGAGACATGGGACATCAATCAATATGTGTAAGATGTACACTGGTTCTGACCGAGCTAAGACAGGACAACTCTAAACTTCTAGGGGGCAGGGTGGTGGTGGGGAGGGGACAGGAGGTAGATGTAGGCGAGGTCTTCCAGGTCATAGGTAGATAACAGACAAAAGGTTGCATTCTTTTGAGTACCTGATCAGCCTTCTACTGAATACGCAGTTTAGTCTGGCTCAGTGAATCTGCATTTTCACATAAATAGGGCAGAGGAAGTAATCAGATGTGCATTTGTCTGAGGTTAGCAGAGGGATGACTTCCTTTTTGCAGGCAGGGGAGGGGTGTTTGAGCCAGTCTCTCCTTTGTCGCCCAGGCTGTATTGCAGTGGCACCATCTCCACTCACTGAAACCTCAGCTTCCCAGGTTGAAGCGATTCTCATGCCTCAGCCTCTCGAGTAGCTTGGACTACAGGCATGTGGCAATATGCCCAGCTAATTTTTCTATTTTTTGTAGAGACAGAGTTTCGCCATGTTGGACAGGCTGATCTCCAGTTCCTGGCCTCAAGTGATCTGCCCACCTTGGCCTCCCAAAGTGCTGGAATTACAGGTGTGAGCCACCACGCCCAGCCCAGAGGGATGGCTTTCTGTCCAGCACCTATGAACATAAGCTATCTGTTTAAATGTCAGAGTGAAATTCAACAGAAGTTAGTTTTAGGGTAAAGATTGTGAGGATCACAAGGAATTTCCTTGTGGGCAAATTGTGAAGGAGGTATGTAGCTGTTATCTTTTCAGCCATCTTATTTAGGAATAATATAGGAGTAAGGTTTGCCTGATGTAGTTCCCAGCTTGGCTTAGTGATTTTGGGGTCCTGAGGTCTATTTTCCTTTCACATAGTATATAAATATACCACAGTTTATCTATTCTAATCTTAATAGACATTTGAATTATTTCTAGCTTTTGGCATGACTATAGAGTAGTTATTCTGAGTACATACTTTGTGTCACTAGTGGCTACAGTACTGAATACATAAAGGGTACTTAGTAGATAATGAGGGAGAATGTAGGCAAGTAAAAAAAATAACTCATCAGGCAGTCAAAAGGAATGCCACAAACTTGTTTTATAGCTTTAAAAATGTATCTACTATGTGAGTTATAAAATGGTATCAAAAACTGTCTGAGAACATGCCTCATAAAGGTTACAATACAATATCCCCTTTCCACTTTAAGTCACGTGGCCTTCAAGTGACATTTTTACCAAAGTGTTTCCAATGAATACTTATCTGAACACACAGTGGGATGTAATCTCCTCAAACAGATATATTTCAAAAACTTGAGAACAGTATTTCAAAACTTTACCAACTAAGGTGGCTTGTAACTACAATATTGAAGATACCAAGACATTTCTTAAATCTCCTCAAGGAGACTGAAGTGTAACTCAGAGAAATCATGACCTAATACACTATATTTTAGATTGACAAAAACAAGTAGCGAGATGCTTGTCTTCTTAAAAAATGATATCTAAGAATAAAAACTGGATGTTGTTTTTCCAAGAAAAGAAAGGTGTTCTAACTTGCCATCATGTCTTTGATGGGACCTGCTTTTAACTGTCATAATTTTATTCTATCCCTTAATTTCAAATTTCTTATCATCTTTCTTTGTATCCTCCCTCCCACCGAAAGTCACCAGTTGCCAACAGCTATGGTTCCCGAATAAAGAATAATGAAAGCACTGGGTGACCTACTTAATGAATTGTGATTAATAAGGTTTGGGTCAATGTAATATACAAAACTAATAAGCAACTAATAAGGAAAGTCAAATGTTACAAGTTGCAAAATATCTAAATATTTAGTATTTTCAATACTTTAATGTCTTCATCTATGGCAATTCCATACTCCTTTTCCAAAACTCATATAGTGTAACTTTCGTGACATCCTTCCATCCCATCACCTGTTCTGTCAAATTAGAAAAGGATATTAACTGATTCTATGGTATTAACAGATTTTAAGGTATCTAAGGCCTCCTGAAGAACTAGAAAGCTAGTGGGAACAATGATCACACATGATTTTGCAACATTCCAGGATATTTTCAGTTAACTCAAGGGACCTTGCAAGATTTTTAAAATAAACTTCAAAATAAAAGAATCTAATTAGAACATGGAAATGTTTACTGACACAATAAAGGCAGAATGAAAGCTTACATCACAGATGTTCTCACCACCTAATTTAGTGCAATAATAGGTACTTTACCAGTACTATATAAAATTACTGGGCATGCAGAAGAATGAGAGGATACTGTGAAACTAAACAAAATTTTTAAATGCCAAAAATTACTGCCATATACTTAAATAATAAATTATTTAATTTTAAACAAATGATTCATTTGAATAATGTTCCTGCAAATATGATTTTAATTCACTGAATATTATTCCCCATATTTAACTTATCTCTTTCCCTTATATAGCTCCATTACCCAAAACTGCAGTGTGGTTCAAAGACCTATTTCCCTGCTTTCCCAGAGGGAAATAAAAGTTCTGTCTATGGAAAGGAAGTATTTCTGAAATTATTACCATTAGTTATCTACCATTATTAGAAAATGAGCTATCCTGGTCAAATAAACTATCTCTCTTTAACTGGAAAGCAAAACTTTCCTGGGCAAGGACAAATTCTTTTGTTGAGAGTTTTCTTGCTCTAAGGCACACAGAAGTGTATTTTTAAATATTTTACCCTGAAGGAGAAATAAAGTGATAAGCATAGAAAATTCAGGTCTGTGGAAAACAGAAGGGGGGAAAAGTCTTATAAATAAAATGTTGTTACCAATTACAAAGTATGAAGTGGTTATGAAAAAAACACCAGGGATTTTAGACACTAAGTTATCACTCAAATGTAAATATCAAGTTACCTCAAAATCTCTTAGCTAGTGGAAGAAACCTAAACTAAAAATTTCAGACATTATTGAGAAATGTCAAGCAATGTGGCTTGAAACAAATTGGTTATTCACACTGAGGACTAAGCTCTGATTTTTTAATCTTGCCCAAATTCCCACCTAAGGGGTCTGGGGACTCATGCCCTACAAATGATAAATTCTCATCAGATGGGTTTTATTTGACCCTATATATTGTGACTTACTTTTCAATCTGACTCTGGCATAACATTATGAGACAACAAGAAAATATTTAACTCCTAAATATATTTCCTT